GGAAAGTAACGGTAATCTAATTACCGTTTTTGCAATAGTAATCCCTTACTTTACTCGTTACTTGAAAAAAGTAATCGGATTACAGTAACGCGTTACTGCCCATCTCTGCTTTTAAGCATGACATTTTTTGTAGGGACTTCATGGCTTTATATTTCTTATAGTGAGGTGGAAAGTGATGTGCCAGAGGTGAAGACGGATCACGAATTGGAAGATCTTCCTCCAACCACGGGTAAAGAAACTTTGTGCTTTATATCCCGACAACATTTTTTCCCCCCTTGGGGTTGCAATTTTCCCCAAAAACCCGGGGCCAAAGGCCGGTTTTTCCTTTCTTTCCTGTGCAGGCCGTAAGCGAGGCGCTTGGTCCCTGGTGTGTGATACAGAGGAGCAGTGGCTCAGTCTGGCAGAAAGCATCAAGGACAAAACCTCCCCACAGGATCGCCACCTCTACCGTGTCATTAGCCAAAACTTCCTGCCTGAGATCAGCAACATGATTGAGCACAAGGTCAGACAGCAGAGACACTACCATCAGTCTCCATTACACCAGTACACAACGCCTTCTACGCGTCCTCTGTTTTTGATAGGCTGTAGATTCGTTAATATGAAAGCGATTATACACAGACTTTAATTTGTCCTCGTTTGCGTGACAAGTCGCGAGCGCCAGGGCGATTTTGATGAAATACCAGCTCATAAACAGCTAAATGAGACATCCCAAATGTGACAGTGATGACATTTGAATATGCAAATTGATTTTTATTAATGTACACTTGACTGCTGTCTTCTTTTCTTTCTTCCTGTTTCCTGAATCTAACCTCGGGTTTTAAGATTACTGATATTCCTTCATCTCGGTTCAGCTGCTTTTATCTTCTGGTTGTCTTACAATAGTTGTTTGTAGGACCTCTCGACTGTGCTACACAATAGGTGGAGTCAAGGAAAGCTGGTCCCTAGTCAGCTTTTTGGGATTGGTCATATGTTGGTGTTGAGTGCTTTAAGCCAGCACTGCTTTCTTTACTTTGCAAAGGAATTAATTTGAGTCGCTGATGGCTACAGCTAGTCGAGAAAACGTAGGTTTTGATCCCACCTGATTGCATAAAGATCAGCGGATGCTGTCTACTCCAGTGATGTATAACCAGCAGTGGCCGTTGCTATAGGAACGATCCTTTTTCTGCCGTCATCAGCATTGAAGTCAAGAATCCTGAAGGCAGGTTAATGTCAGCCGAGAGGTCACTCAGTAATTGCAAATGGTTATGAATGAATGAATTTGGTTGAGTCGTTCATCAGTCACACCCTCTGCTGTTCTACTTGTGCGCACATTTCTGTGGCATTCAAAGTCTATAGCTTCATTACATAACATAAGTAGAGCTGGATGAGGTATTTTTGGCTTGTTGGTGTTTGCGTTTCCTCTGCGCCGCAGCACTCTGGACTTGAAGAGATGGCTCTCTGCCAAACGCGATCACAGTATG